AATGTTTTGTGGAACAAGTTTTGACTCAAATCCTATGGGGGTATAGAAATAAATGTAGACCCTTAGAGAAATTTTAATCTACTAGACAAAATGAAAAATGTAAAATAATGATTGACATGCAAACATTAATTGATTTTAAAAACCATATTTATTCAATCTGTACGCTAAGCAAATAATCTGTGAAGCAGGATTATATGAAGAAGAGCGTGGCATCAGGATTGAAGGAAGACTCATTTAAAACCTGTAATATGCAGATAGTACAACTTTGCTTGCTGAAAACAAAGAGGACTTAAATACTTACTGATGCGGATCAAAGACCACAGTCTTCAGTATGTGTTGCAACTCAATGTAAATAAAATAAAAAATCCTCACAACTGGACCAAAAAATAACATCAAGAAAAATGAAGAAAAGATTGAAGTTGTCAAAGACTTCATTTTGCTCAGATCAACCATCAGCACTCACGGAAGCAGCAGTCAAGAAATCAAATGACATATTGCATTAGGCAAATCTCTGCTATGTCCTCTTAAAGTATTGAAGAGAAAAGATGTCAGTCTGTGAACTAAGGTGTGCCTGATCTAAGCCATGTTATTTTCAATAGCCTTACATGCATGTGAAAGTTGTACAATGAATAAGGAGGACTATCGAAGAATTAATGCATTTGAATTGTGGTTATGGTATTGCAGAGAATATTAAAAGTACCACGGACTGCTAAAAGAACAAACAAATCTGTGTTAAAAGAAGTACAGTTATGGTGCTCCTTGGAAGCCAGGATGGCCAGACTTCATCTCTCATAGTTCAGATATATTATCAGGAGGGACCAGTCCCTGGAGAGACACATCATGCTTGGTAAAGTTGAGAGTTGGATAAAAAGAGGAAGCTCACCAACAAGATGGATTGGCACAGTGATAACAGCAATGGGCTCAAACATAGCAACAGTTATGAGGTATGCACAGGACCGGTCAGTCAGAACCCACTCGATGACATCTAACAACAACAAGGGGAGTTCAAAGGAAGGTGCCTACAGAAACTAGTTTGTATTTTAATAGGGCCTCAAAGAATGCAAAATTTCAATAGCCAAAAATGGGGAAAGAAATCCTTTCAAATGGGAGGAATCATCTGTGCAGTGCCACACACAAAGAAATACAGTGAACCCCATGAGAGTTGTTGCTGTTGTTAATTGCTGTAGAGTGGGTTCCTACTTATAGCAACTCTGTATAGGGTTTCCAAGGAGTGGCTGCTGGGTTTGAATAGCTAACCTTGCAGTTAGCAGTCTAGTGCTTATCGTGCTGCAGTACCACACAAGGACTCTGGACTCCATTGTATTGCCTGATTTCCATGTTTCTCAAGTTTTCCATTTTTGACAGGATACAGTCTCACTGAAGCTGAAACCCACTAAATGTATTCTATCTTTGTAAGAAGTGAGGTCGTTAGTTCTAACCTTGGTCTGTATTTTCCTTTAGATTAATTTGTATTTGCCCCACCCCACATCTTTCTCCATTGGAGCAGTTGGTGGGTTCCTACCATTGACCTTTAAGTTAACAGCCAAGTGCTTTAATCACAATACATATTATTCAAATGGAAACATTGACCTCTTCAGCTGCTCTTACTACCTTCTAACTAATCTTTTCTTACAGAATTTTATATATGTATTCATAACAAAGCACATTTTGTTCAGTACATTTTTAAATATAGTTTTCTGACTAAAATAATAGATAATATACTGGTTTTATGATAATAGCAAGAAAGCAAGTATTCCTGAAGTTGGTATTAAGGATAATCTTGTAGGGACGGAGTTGTCAGTTTCATGTTTCTGGTGCCCTGTCTTTTTTCTTTGTAATAGTTTCATTAAGATTAATTCACATGACAACAATTCACCCATTCAAAGTGTGGAATTCAATGGTTTTTAATATATTCAGAGTTGTGCAACTATCACCACAATCAATTTTAGAATCTTTCACCACCCCCAAAACAAACCACATACCCTTTAACTGTTGTCCCAGCCCTAGGCCACCACTTAACTATTTTCTTTTTCTATAGATTTGCCTATTCTGGATATTTCATATAACTGGAATCATATGATGTGATTTTTTTTTTTTTTTGGCTGTCCTCTTTCACTTGGCATTATGCACATCATGTTCTAGCACGGATTAGTATTTTATTCCCTTTTTATGGCTGCATACTATCCCATTAAATGAATATAACACATATTGTTCATTGATTTATAAGCTGATGGACATTTCAATTTTTTTCTATATTTGGGTTATGATAAATAGCACTGCTTTTGATCATTTATGTACAAGTGATTGTGTGGACATTTGTTTTCATTTCTCTTGTATGGGCCCAACAATTTTTCTGCTAGATATATACCCAAGAGAAATGAAAACTTATGTCCTCACAAAAACTTGTACACAAGTGATCATAGCTGTGTTAGTCATAATAACCCAAAAGTAAGGGGGGGAAATGTCTAGGTGCCCTGGTAGCATAGTGGTTACCTGCTGAGCTGCCAACCAAAAGGTCAGCAGTTTGAATCTACAAGCCGCTCCTCATGTGAACTTTCTGCTCCAGTAAAATGTATATAGCCTCCAAAACGCTATACAGGGTCGCTATGAGTCTAAACCGACTTGACAGAACACCAACACCATCCATGATAACTCTTGGAGTCCTGGTTTGACATTGTAAGACAAGTGTGAACCACAAGGCTAGTTTGAACCAAAAGTCAGTGGTTCAAACTCACCCGCTGCTCCTTGGAAACCCTATAGATGGTCGCTGTAAGTTGGAAACGACTCTATGACACTTAACAACATCAACAACAACACTCATCCCTAGGGCAATTACAGAATTAAAGTCCTTGAAATTCTTCAGAACATTCCTAAGATTCCTATAAATCTCTTTTCTCCTTTCCCCTCAAAGAGGTAGTTTTTGGAGGATGCACAGTCCCTTTGCCTCCTGTGTGTACATTATACCTTGCTTGCATTAACACACACCTGTTTCTAAGTAACTGGCATCCTTGAGGCTAACAGTATAAGTCACCATTTTGCTGTATCATTACCACTTTTCTATCACTCATTAAGGATCCCTGGTACATGGTGGATTATAAACTGGACAGCTAGCTACAAGTTTAGAATCTATTAGTTGCTCTGCAGGGGAAAGATTTACAGTCTTGGAAACCCTATACAGTGTCACTAAGAGTTGGAACTGACATGGTGACACACAACCACTATCACTATCACTCACTTTGGAGTCCTGGTGTGACATTGTAGGATAATCACTGGACTTCAAACCACAAAGTCATTTGTTCCAATCCACGTGCCGATCCTCAGAAAACAGGGTCACTATAAGGTGGAACCGGCTTGCCAATACTCATAACTATAGCATGAATCATCTTAATAGAAAATTGACTTTGCCTTCTCTGACAGGTCTCTACCTTATATAGTTCCAAACGTCTGCAGGTCTTACTATAGTAGAATGTTTATAGAAATGAACATGTGGAATAATAATACCCCCCACAAAAAAATTTAGTGGGTTAGAATTGTAAACTTTGTGGTTAGCAGTCTAGCACTTATTCTACAGTGCCACCAAAATAATAGTGGGGATTAAACGAATTTATTAATAAGAAGCAATAGTACAAGGCTAAGAAGTGTAAGCATTTTCTTCATAAATAATGGGAAATACTTTGATCAAAAGAGTAATTTTATAGAAATTGCCATAGGAAGATTATTTTGGTAGGAAGATTATTTTGGTAATTGGATACAACTAAAAGTGGATTGTGGGGAAAGGGTAATAGGATGTTCTAATACTTCAAGTAAAACGTTTATTTGAATCTGACGAGGTACTATGGAGTAGAAAGAAAGAGAGGAGTACAAATATATGAAGAATGGCTGTTAGTAATTGTGAACATTTATTGAGAGCTTACTATGTGATAAATTGATTAATAATGCCAGATTATCACATCAGTAATCAAAGTTGTTGTTGAGTGCCATCAAGTCGATTCCGACCCATAGCGACCCTGTATAGGGTTTCCAAGGAGTAGCTGGTGAGCTTGAACTACCAACCTTGCAGTTCAAATGTCTTTGCAGTCCAGTGCATTAATCCACAGCACCACACCAGGACTCCAATCCCAAAGTAGGCAACCATTACCTTCATCTTACAAAATATAGATTAATGTACTCATTATGACAGTCATATGTATAAGTAGCAGTGCTGCCACTTGAACCCCAAATTGGATAACTTCTAAAACTCATACTTAAATTCATGTTCTAATACTGTAAATCTATTATCCTTAAAGGAGCACACAGCTCCATCTTTCTTTTGAGGAGCAACTGGTGTGTTTGAACTGCCACCTTTGAGGTTAGCAGTACCTAACCCACAGCACCACCAGGGCTCCTTAAATTCATTATGTCATTTATTGTTGATAAATTCCATCAAATTGGTTCTAACTCCTAGTGACCTGACTAACTAGCTTCCCAAGGAGTGACTGGTGGGCTTGAACTGCCAACCTTGCTGTGGCTAGCATTCCTGTGCCTTTCCTACAGTGCCACACCAGCATTTGTTGCTTTTGTTGTTGTTAAATTCATTGGGTTAGTGTTGTTAAGTGCCTTGAGTCACTCCTGACTCATGGCAACCTTGTATAAGGTTTCCAAGGAACAGCTGGTGGGTTTGAATTGCTGACCTTGTGGTTAGCAGTCCAATGCTTATGCTACAGTGCCACACCGATGGTCCCATTAAAGAGAAGATTGGAGTAAAATAAATGATACTAGGGATTCAAGCTTAAGTAATTGGGAAAATAATAGGATCAATAAAAATCAAAACGGGAAGTATCACAAGGAAGAATTGGTTCAGGAAAATTAGAGAAAAATCTAACCTTTATCTCGCATAATCTGAAGATTCTTTTGTATATATAATATCATTGGTCTTGTGTACATCTTTAAGTGTTGTATTTATGCTGTGATGAGTCACTTCCAATTTAACTCACTGAAATTCTATTGTTTTACCAGGTGAGAATTTTGCTGACGAGAAGCCTAAGGTGCAGTTAGTCATATCATATGAGGATATGAAGCTGACAATACTAGTGAAGCACATGAAAAACATTGTAAGTCCATTTCGTAAAATAAGAAACATGTAAATTTACAGTTGGAAGTTGTTTACTTACTTTAGGCAATCAATGTCAACATATAAGTGAGAAACAATGGTCCAATTACCATGTTTTTGCTTCAGTGTGATTGTGATCCTTGGGGTCAAAACTATAAAATAGTTTACTAAAAAAGCCATGGAATAAAAATTAGACTATATTCAAAATGAAACATGAGAAAAAAAACAAAAAGAATGAAAAACTTTGCAAAGCAAGGATAGTTAGAGAATTTAGTGCTAAAAGAAAATGTCTGGGCCCCAAGAATTTACTTGTATCCCATCCTGATGGACTTGTTGGATAATTATCTCATCTCTTTGGGTAGTGTTACTACCTTCTCTGTGAAGCCAGGAACTATAGGGTTTCCACCTAGATATCCACTGAACCTTGAGTTTATACCACTGTTAGTTAACATATTTGATACAACTGCTCATGTATATTTCAAATTTTGTAGGACAAAAACGCTCACAAAATTTTTGTATCCCCAAAACCTAGGGCAATATCCATAGCTAGCCTCTAAGGAAAGACTCTGACCATACCTACTTCTCTTCAAGGGCAAAGTCAGGTCAGAAGTAAAGATGACAATTCAACATTGTCACTAAGTAAGAGAGGGAGATTACAGAGTAAGTGATTAATGATCTGAGTCTGGATCTTAAACCAAAAATCAAACTCACTGCCATTAAGTCAATCTTAACTCACACTGCTCATGTAGGACAGAGGAGAACTTCCCCATAAGGTTTTCAAGGCAATAAATCTTTAATGAAAGAGCTATGGTGGTGTAGTAGGCTATGTGTTGGGCTGCTAGCTATAGGGTCAGCAGTTCGAACCCACCAGATACTCCATAGGAGAAAGATGAGACTTTTTTGCTTCCATAAAGATTTACAGTCTCAGAAACCCTATACAGTGTTGCTCTGAGTTGGAATTGAATCAACAGCATGCTATCACCACCACCAAATATTTAAGGAAGACTATTACCACATCTTTCTTTTTGGATGGAATGCTGGTGTGTTCAAACCAACAACCTTTCAATTGGCTGCTGAACACTTTAGTCAGTGCTCCACAGTGCACAGAAAATCCCTGGGAGACCACACTGGTGTGGATAAAGTCAGCAACACAGTTCTGGCTCTGTTCTTTATACATATAAATCTATAGGGTGCTCTTGGAAGAATGTTTTTGTTAAGTGCCATTGAGTCAGGTCAATTCATACCAATTCTCTATAGAGTTTCCAAGACTGTAAATCTCTGCAGGAAGAGAAAGTCACATCTTTCTTCTTTAAAGTGGCTGGTGGGCTAGAACCACTGACCTTGTGGTTCAAAGTCCAGTGCTTATCCTATAGAGTCACCATGCTCCCATCCTGGAAAAATATAAAGGGCAAACTCTTGTGAACATGGCATGCATCCAGAACATACTGCTGCTGCTGCATGCTATAAAGTCAGTGTCAACTCATAGCAACCTTGTATAGTGTTGCTAAGGCTATAAAGCTTAACAGGAGAAGAAAGATTTCATTATTCTCCCAAGGAGTGACTAGTGGATTTGAACTGCTGACCTTGAGGTTAGCAGCCCAATGTGTAACTCAATAAATTACCATGAATCCTTCCAGAACATTCTAGAATTTAAAAATACATTTTCTATTAATTCATAATTGATGTAATTTGGGGGCAATATATCAGTTGCAAACATATTAGTCAAGCATCCAAGTATGTTTGTAATTCAGTGGTATTTCTCTCAGTCAGGAATTTTTTTAATGTTAGGCAAATAATTTTAAACATTATGTAGACCCCCCCCCTTTTTTTTTTAAAGTTTTTATTGTGAATTGAGTGATACTTTACATGGAAGAACATCATTTCACTGAAATGATTACAGTCTCCTCCATGCATCATCATTCAACAGTATTTGTTTCTGTTCCCTCTGTTGTTTATTGGTTTGTTTGTTTGTGTGTTTGTTTGGGGGGGATGCACACAAAACACTCAGGAATATATAATAACTTAAACACCCAAAGGGCATATTCTTACAGCCTGCCTTCTGGCTGCCAGCACTCATTCTTTCTCTTTCCATGAATCTTGAGTCCTCAGCTGCTCTCTCTCTCCATGTCCTCATCTCTGCCTCTATCTCTGGTATCACTACTTCCCTGGATAGGGTCCTATTATATAGAACCTTTTGTTTATTAAAATAATTATCATTTGGTTTTTAGAAGATAATTAATTTAAATGAGAATGGCAGTTATTTTATAAATTCTTGGGTTGCAAATTGATGAGTCAATTGGCTATTATTTATGACTGTATGTATGTTCTTACATTTTAAGCACCAATGTACATATATTAATAAATATTGTTGATAAAATCCAAAACAAATACTAAGAAACAGTTAATCAGTTTAATAGAGCTTTTATATGTATATGAAATATGATAGCTTGCTTTGAAAGTAGTGCTCTTGGAAGCAATATATTAATTCTTAAAGTGTTGTCATTGCTCAAAACACTTTAGAACTCTTCTACTGAAATTGCTTTTTGACTCTGCATATAAATTACACAGTAAACTTGGTAATATTACTGTATGGTCATGCCTAACTTTTGATCAAAAGTAATATTAACCAGCTTGGTCACTCATTTTATTTTCCAATTGAATCCCAAAATTGCTTTTGACAGTTTCCAAAAATGTATTTTACACTCAGATAAAGTTATACTACCAATAAGAATATTCAAAAAGTATGTGATGCAGGCTTCAAGGGAGGGTAGTGAATGAACAAGAGCAAGAATTTAAGATTTCAATCAAATAGTGAGGAAATGTCCAGATGAATCCCACAATATCCTCAGAAAGAAAGTTACTAATAATGAAGGAATACTTTTTACAGTTTAACATCTCAGTTGATCTGCTGATTCTTTAAATCTCCCTGATCTTTAGCATAAGCATACCCTAAAATTTAGAAGAACCTGGTGATCTTCTTCTAAAAAGTAGTTGTTACTATTAGATGTCCTTGAGTCATTTCTGACTCATAGCAACTTCATGCACAAAAGTACAAACAAATGGCCAATCCTGTACCATCATCACAATTGTTGTTATGTTTCAGTCCATTGTCGCTGCCACTGTGTTACTCCATCTCATTGGAGGCCTTACTCTTTTTAATGGAGCCCCCCTCTCCGACTTTTCCAAGCATGATGTCCTTCTACAGGGGCTGATCCCTCCTGACAACATTTCCTAAGTACATGCGAGTAGTCTTGCCATCCTGGCTTCTAAGGAGCATTCTGGCTCTAATTCTGCCAAGATAGATTTATTTGCTCTTCTGGCTGTCAATAGAATTTTCAATATTATTTTCCAACAACATAATTCAAATGAATTGATTCTTCCCTGGCCTTTCTTATTCATTGTCCAATTTTAACATACATATGAGGCAATTGAAAAGGCTATGGCTTGGGTCAGTTGCATTTTAGTCCTCAGACTGACATTTTTGCTTTTCAGCACTTTTAAGACGTCTTTTGTAGCCGATTTGCCTAATGCAGTATGCCATTTAATTCTTTGAACTGTATTCTTCATAGCTCATTCCACATGCTCTAAATGACGAGTTTTACTGTCACTTTTCCAGTGCAGCCCTCTCTGATCCCACATGTGAAACATACCATCCCTCTTTTTTTTTTTTTTTTTTTTTGCCACTTTCAGTCTTGTTTTCATACTTTCACTACTATCCTACATGATTACTTGAACCCCAGGACCTAAAACAGTGCCATGTACATAATAGATGATCAATAAATGCTTTGATAAATCAAAGAATGCTAGCTTACTTCAAATGTCAACAACTAAGAATTAGAATCTTTCTCACCTTTTTAACAACATCACAACAAATCCATCATACCTTGAATTTTTCATACCTTTAAATGACTATTGTGGAGTATTTTTCTGCTTATCTGAAGTCAGAGATGACACTATAATACAAAAGAGAGAAAAATCTAGCTGCGGATGCTCAATTTCAGGTTTTAACTAATTATTATTTATTTTTGATCCTTTCTTATTTTTACCTGCCAATCTAATCAGACAAAAGTTTTGCTGGATTTTATTTTGATATTAAAATGAGTATTATATCTACAGTTCTGTGGTATTTGATATCAAGCTTGATGAAAGGACTTGTTTACTTATATTAAATATTTTAAGCTTTGCTAATAATTAATTCTGTCTTGTGAGATCACAAGCTAAAACAAAAATTGCTGAAATCCTTTTCTTTTCAAAGCAGTATACTATGATTTACTCCAGTGGACAGAGAATGCTGAAGTAATGCAGTTATGTACATTTACAAAAATATTTTAATTTACATAAAAAGTAAACATATAAAAATCATTTGTATTTTAAATATTTTTTTTTTTTTATAAATTTATCTGCTTAGCATTTTTTTCATTTTGTTGTTATGAAGTATTATCTAGATGGTCCCAACTCAAAGTGATTCTGCATAGGGTTTCCAAGGAATGATTGGTGGGTTTCAACTTCCAACCTAACACTTAGCGGTCCAGTGTTTTTCCTACAGTGCCACACCAGAATAACATACCAGATGATTTTTCCCATGTAGTCCACTATAAGACACTCTCTTTCTTTGAATTATACAATGTCTCCTTTTACACAGTTCTTATTTCATAGATTATTCTGTAGACATTTTTATGTGTTTTTTTTTTAATTCCTCTTGCTTCTTTCCAGAAACCTCTATAGCATAATCAACAAGAATGAACTCTTTTCCAACAGTAAACATACCAACACTATCAGAGTCTCTTATTCTATAACAGAATAATAAGTTATTTAAAATAATAGAGTAATGTCAATGAAGCAGGAAACACCACAGATTTGGTACTAATCAGTCCTTTAATAAAACACAGAATAGGAGGAAATAGTTACTATATCCATCACTCATCTGTCAGTTTGTTATACGGTGGTGGATTTTGTGTTGCTGTGATGCTGGAAGCTAAGACACTAGTATTTTGAATGTCG